AAATTCAGAAGATTCAAGTAACATGATGTCCATTTACAACAGTGGAACTATGCAACAAATGATTCATAAACAGTTATGAGAGCAAACCTGCAATAAATTATTGCTTCTAAAAATACTAAATTTAACACTTGTGATTTATAACTATCTATATCATAACTCTCATATTAAATTTAACTGACACAGTCATGTGTATCTAACACTGCACTACATGGGGAGATAACATTTATTACAGTAGAATATAATTTAAAGAGGGGAAAGTTATACTTCAGTACAGTCCAAAAGAAACCATTGTACTGAATTGTTTACATGTTTAATTTGTGCTGTTGAGGTTACACAGTTAATTTTGGTGCATTTTGAAAGCGCTAGTCTACCTGCCATGCCGAGAGTATATCTGCTGTGATACTCAAGTACATTCCTCCAGAACAGTGTGTACGATACACAGGTTCCAGGAATGTTAGGGAGATAATGATTTCAAAGATGCACAGCAGAGGAAGTTGAAACAAACGCATCAACTGGCTGCTGAGCTAGAGGGCAACTTGGAAGCAAAATATCCACAGAGGACAAAGAAGAGGGCAAGAATATTGAAATCACACTGTTAAGTCAGGCCAATGTCCTAGTTCATTAAATCAAAATTTGCATAGGTTTCTTATATGAATGATCATTGCTATTAAACATATTCAAGGGAGATAAACCCTCAATTCAATATAACTTTGAAAAGTCTCCCTACCAATCAAAGAGGGCATGACACAGAAACATGGCAAAAACAAGTGTAAACTTTATAGAACATTTGTTGTGATACATAACAGAAGGTTAATACAAGTTTATGACCCTTCTTCATCCAGGTTCAAAGGATGTTGTAACAGTATGAACACAAGTTACCTGATCATGCCTGAGTAAAGACATACATCACTATCCACAAGTCTTGGAAAGATACAATATATTTCCAATCATCACATTCCTTTTTTTTTCAGTTGGAGCAGTTTTAATTTTGGTGGCCACTTCAATTACGGTTATTTTTTTCTACATAATTAGAGGACAGTTTGACCTCATAACGTCATCCGCTAGTGTATAAGAAGTATAGCCTGATGATGCAGTACTGTCAGAGATCATGCTTGCTACTAAGTGTATTATCATCAGGATCGTTGTGCTAGATATCTTTTTTTTTTTAAACAAGTTGATTAATTCAAGCCCTAACTTGCATCATTTTGAATTTGAGGGTACTAATCTTATATGAGTTGTAAGTATATTGTTATTCAAACTGATTCATTAACTGCATTCAGTGAGAGAGTGATGTTGCTAAAATATAATTTGTTTGAGATTTAATTTAACTATAAAATCTTGCTCCTTTATTGTTTGACTTATTTATAATGGTGGCTTTAAAAAAAGGTTATCTTAAAAGTACTAATGAAAAAATTGATAATTTTCTGGTACAAAAATATTTTGTGGATGGAGTAACATGCTGTTCTTGTTATGCCACTTTATGAACTGGATGTGTTAAAAATATGAGGTAAGTGTGAGCTTGGAAGTGTGTTGGATCAGTCACTCAGTTGTCAACACAGCTTTTTTTATCATTAGTTCGTGAAGTCGTTTTCAGTTACCAATTTCTGAGTGAAATGTGTGACACAGAAATCACATTTTTTTTAAAGCAATAGGTATGATTAAAGATCCTTGGCTAACTTTTACAAATAACATATTTTTTGTTGTTATTGTCACTTAGTACATTAAACCTGCTTTCTGTAGATCGTGTTGGGGGGCGTACACTGTCAACGACTTTGAAAACTCTCTCTGGTTGTGACACTTGGGATTTGGGAGGTCAGTGGGTTTCCAGGTAAGGTATATACATACATACAGTAATTTTCATGGTTTTATGTTACAAAATGAGTAAATTCATATTTTGATATATGTCTACCACTAGTAATACACTTTCTACAAATATAGCTTGGCAGACATATACAAGGCCATTAAGATAAAGTATTAAAAAAAAAGAGTTTTGAACAAAGCAATGACAGACATCAGCACCAAGTTAATCATACAAAGACTGGGGGTATATATGCATTTTTTATATATTTTAAATTGGAATTAATTAGAATGTTAGTAAAATTTTCAAATTTTATAACTGTTTACAAATAATTTTTGTCAAAGGAGAACTGCATCCAAAACTAGAACCTGTTATCACTAATAATAATTTCCATATCTCCCAGTTTTTGTTTCATCTCTCAAACAGACCATCCATTGGAAGGTTTTTTAAATCCTTAACAGTGTAGAATATGTAGATCAAATTGTTGCTAGGTTTTTTGTATTATTAAAGAGATTTTTTGATAATCCAAAGATAGATACTCAAAATTGTTAATGAACTGGATTTGTATTTAAAACTGCAAATAACAAAAGGGGGGGGGGGAGGATACCCAACAAAAACACACCCAGATATTTACCTTTGAACTTTGTGTTAATCTCAACTCTCAAGTAGGGCTAGCTATGTGAAAACTAGTTAATGTTAGTTGTATCTTAAAATATGAATTTCATTCACTATAAATATAGTATGTAAGTACTTCAGTTATTTGGACTTGGTAAAAATGGAACATCTTTAGTGTTCATTTTTAGAAAGAATGCACTTTTGCATGAGGAGAACTAATATTAATGTTGGAAGAAAAAGAGGAGGAATTAGATTTAAATATTGATAAATGAGGTAACATTTTGGTTGAGTCTGTGATTGTACTGGAAACTAAAAAGTGATATAACTGATATTATTTATAGACATATTTTACTTGACAGTAAAAACTTGAAGGAACCTTCCATGAGACTTTGACAAGGTCTTTGAATACAGTGTTCAGGTTTGGTTTCTTTACTGCAGGAAACATATTGACAGGCTATTAAATGTTGCCTGTTATTATTGAGAAGAATAACTAAAGCTGTGGAATAATATATGTAATAAATTAGTCATTACAAGGAATTAAATGTTTGTAGGATAGATATAATGGTGTACTTTACACTTGTTGTTTTTTCATGGCTGTGATACATAATAATCTTTAATTTTAATGTACAATCATGAATACCTGATCAAATAGAGAGGCACTCAGTTGAGTGAATACCTCCGCCACCCAGTGTTGATCATATTTGGCTCCAAAAAATGCGTCCATATGTCTGTCATTATTAATGAACATGGACCATTTTTGGCAGGACAATGGGGAATAATAATTCTACATATGTCCACCAAGATTCATCAAAATCCAGTCATTTTTGACTCAGTTATAGAACAAACAGTGTGTGAAAAATTGGTCCCCATTTTAACAGATGGGGATTTTTAAAATTTTCTTCACCTTGTTGTGACATTGACATTTGACTTGACCTTGACCCAAATAAAACTAATCACTTTTAAGTTGGGTCATAGTCCAAATGTATACCAACCTTTGTGTAATTCCATTCAGACATTTTTGAGAAATCTTGCTGACAAACACACACACACACACACACAGGGGTGAAAACATAACCTCTGTCCACATTTGATAATGGAGATAACTAGTCATTTCATGGAACTGAAATTTCTTAAACTCTCTGTGAAGACATTAAATTAGTTTAAAACAAAGCTTTCCTCCATCTGGATTGGGTGATACTTGAATGACAGGAAGAAATTGTGGACTCATCAAGTATTGAATTTATGGTTTGTATTCATTCATTTTTATTTATTTACTGGTACAGGAATATATTAATAAGCATTTGAAACATGTTTAATTTGTAATTAGAATATTATGTGTTTCAAATGGTTTTATTCAGTAACAGAGGCTCATTTGCTTATGAAGATATTGGCTAATTTATTAATAGTGACATTGAAATAAGTAAAGTAGCTTTTTCTCTCTCTAATATAAGCATTTTGTTTTGTTGTACAGCACACAAAATAATATCATGACCCTGATCAAGGAATTAGGCTTAGAGACTTACCCACAATTTGTCCAAGGTACTAAGATGCTACAACATGGCAAGAGAGGAAAGATAGGAACGTACCAAGGAGCTATTCCAAGGTTATCACTTCTACCCCTATTGGAGATTCATTTCTTTACAGACAAGGTGTTAACATATGCTTTTCTCAGATTTAATATACATGTTATTTGAAGGAACATTGCAACTGGCCTTGTTATTTTGTGAAATTTGCATATTAATTCACTAGCATATGCTTTCTTGTAGTTTATAAAAAATGGAAAAAGTATTCAAAAATAGACATTTCCATTGCTCTGAAAAATGTTTTAAATATGGGTTCCAATTTATAAACAAATTATATTTTAATATGGGTGAATGTATATTGAAATATTAGTTCAAAATTGTATGTTAATTATGTAATCAAGGATATATTCTTAATTCAATGATTACTGTTTTTGAACACTTTAGGAATGACCTGAACTTCTGATCACACTCTATACTGTGTTGTGGTATAACCAATGCATTCCACATTTAATTATATGTTATGTTACTGCCTGACTTTAGTACCTACAGTGGTAAATTATATAGACTGTGGTTTCACATTTCTGTGAGTTATGTTTACCATAGTTGTACTGTTGCTTAAGTCACAGTGAATTATGTTTACCATAGTTTTACTGTTGTTAATAACAAAGCATGTTATGTATACCATAGTTTTACTGTTGCATACACCACAGTGAGTTATGTATGCAAGTTTTACTGTTGCCTACAACACAATGAGTTATGTATACCATAGTTTTACTGTTGCCTACACCACAATGAGTTATGTATACAATAATTCTACTGTTGCTTACCCTATAGTGAGTTATGTATACCATAGTTTTGCTGTTGCTTATTTCACAGTGAATTATGTATACTACAGTTTTACTGTTGTTTATAACAAAGTATGTTATGTATACCATAGTTTTACTGTTGCATACACTACAATGAATTATGTATACGATTGTTTTATTGTTGCCTACACCACAGTGAGTTATGTGTACAATAGTTTTATTGTTGCCTATACCATAGATGTACTGTTAGTTACATTATGGTGAGTTGTGTGTACCATAGTTTTATTGTTGCCTATACCATAGATGTACTGTTAGTTACATTATGGTGAGTTGTGTGTACCATAGTTGTACTGTTAATTACATTATGGTGAGTCGTGTATACCATGGTTGTACTGTTAATTACATTATGGTGAGTTGTGTATACCATAGTAAGTTGTACTGTTAATTAAATTATGGTTAGTCATGTGTACCATAGTTGTACTGTTAATTACATTATGGTGAGTCATGTGTACCATAGTTGTACTGTTAATTACATTATGGTGAGTCATGTGTACCATAGTTGTACTGTTAATTACATTATAGTGAGTCATGTGTACCATAGTTGTACTGTTAATTACATTATGGTGAGTCATGTATACCATAGTTGTACTGTTAATTACATTATGGTGATTTGTGTGTACCATAGTTGTACTGTTAATTACGTTATGGTGATTTGTGTGTACCATAGTTGTACTGTTAATTACATTATGGTGAGTCGTGTGTACCATAGTTGTACTGTTAATTACATTATGATGATTTGTGTGTACCATAGTTGTACTGTTAATTACATTATGGTGAGTCGTGTGTACCATAGTTGTACTGTTAATTACATTATGGTGAGTCGTGTGTACCATAGTTGTACTGTTAATTACATTATGGTGAGTCGTGTATACCATAGTTATACTGTTACTTACATCATAAGAGCTGTATATACTATATTGTTTTTCTATGCACCGTAGTGAGCTGTATATACTATATTGTTTTTGTTTTGCACTATAGTGAGCTGTGTATGCTATATTGTTTTTGTTTGCACCGTAGTGAGCTATATATACTATATTGATTTTGTTTTGCACTATAGTGAGCTGTGTATGCTATATTGTTTTTGTTTTG